TCAACTATCAAATCCTAATAGGCGACCTACTATGTGTTCATGTCATGTATAATTGACCATTGAATGACCTAAGAAACTCTTTTTTTCTTTCATTCAATTGCCCTGGCCAAGGTCTTAATTTGGTCGTTTATAATTCATGACAACATGAAGCTTAAACTCATTACCAAGAGTTGACAGATTCCATATTGATCAATCACTAATTCTACAAGTATTCAATCGTACCCAATATCCTTTCAACTATCGCCCTAGGGCCATAAATGTCTGGTGTCACACCTCCTTTTGNTTGTTATTATTTTTTATTTCTTTTGGAGCGATTGTCGCGCGAAACAAAAATCACGTGCTCACATCTGGTATCAAAGCACAATAAATAACTTGTCAATTACTATGACGATTTCAGGTCAAAGAAAACTTTTACATCTCATTCTTCAAGAGAATATCCTATTGAGAGTTTATGGTAATTCTAACCATTAGGAATTATCCAATGAGTCGGTTCAATGATCATATCTCTATATGCATCATCTATCTATGTGATTTAGTTAATGAGATCAACTAATTTTTATCCCATAAAGACGATCACATAAATATTGATCTAATCGAATTACTAATATCCAAATTAATAATCCTAAGATCAAGAATAAATTTAGATTAAATTATAAGAAACTTTACTCTCATTATCATGATCTCCATCACAATGTTAAGTCTCAAAATTTAATCAAGGACCTTATCAAATTAATCAAGCAATTAATAACAATGATAAAAAAATATCAAATGCCATATATTTTAATATCAAATAACGTTCACAAAAATATGTTCAAATCATCAAATATAATATTGGATCTAAGGCATATCTACTATATCCCTAACACTTATTACTAATATTTTGTGTTACCCAGTAACTACTTTGTATATATGTAGTTGGTAATAGCTGTTAATATCAGTTGAGCAAAATTCCAAAACAATCGTCTTCTACACTCTTCCAATTACATATCCATGGCTAATTCTAATATTTTTATGTTAAAAAAGGGTTGGAAATAGGTTGTATTCACTTCTTCTGTACACCTATATAGAGAGAAAAAAAATATCCCTGAAATTATTTGGTCTGCTTCTTCAACTTCAAGTCTGAGTAAGATAAAAGCCAAGAGTATGTAAAAGAAAGATCAAAAGGTGCTCACTCTCATCCATCAACGTTTGGATGACAAGATGTTTGAGAAAGTTGCAAATACAGAAACCTCAAAGCAAACATGCGAGATTTTTCAAACTTCCTTTAAAGGTTTGGCTAAAGCAAAAATTGTTCGTCTCCAAACCTTACGACGAAAAATTTGAACCATTGCATATAAAGGAACCCAAATCCGTTTCAAATTATATTTCAAGAGTTTTTGCTGTTGTCAATCAAATGAAGTGATATGGTGAAGACTTGAGTGATGATAGGGTCGTTGCAAAAATACAACGATCCCTTGATTCAAAAGTTAGTTATATGGTTGTGGCTATTGAAGAGCCCAAAGATTTGGACACCACGACCATTGAAGAACTCAGGGGTTCCTTGCAAGCACATGAAGAAAATTTGAAGAAACCAAAAGAAGAATCGGTTGAACAAGCGTTGAAAGCAAAACTTTCTTTCAAGTAGAAATATGAAGGGTGTGACTCGCAACAAAGAGGTCGTGGACGTGGACAAGGTCGTGGTGGAAAAGGAAGAGGTGGTAGGCAACCACCAAATAAAGAAAATAAGAGCCAAGACTCTAATTAAGGAAGAGGCCGTGGAAGAAGTAGAGGATAATGGCAAAATCAAGGAAGATATGATAAATCTAATATTGAATGTTATACTTGTTATAAATTTGATAATTTTTTCTCGAAATGTAAAAATATTGTGGAGGAAAAAAATAATTTTGTGGAGAGCAAAAATGAAGATGGAGATGTCACTTTACTTCTTGCTTGTAAAGGAGAAGAAAGTGTAGAGGGAAATCAGTAGTACCTTGACTCCGGTGCAAGTAGCCAGATATATGGAAGAAGAATTTATTTGTGGAGCTTGAAGAATTAAATGGCGGTAACTATAAATCATCCGAGCCAACTTTGCTAAGGATGTCTCTTTGGAAAGCAAGCAAGAATAAGCTTTTCTAAAGATTATTTGACTAGAGCCCGATGTCCATTGGAGTTGATTCACATGGATATGTACAAATCAATCAAGCCATTTTTACTTGGTAAAAGTAATTATGTTTTACTTTTTATTGATGAATTTTGTAGAAAAACTTGGGTGTATTTTTTTAAGGTGAAATCGGAGGTGTTTGATACTTTCAAAAAATTCAAGAGTGTGGTGGAGAAACAAAGTGGCTATCAAGTTGAGTCATTGCGGTCCAATAATGGTAGAGAATTCACTTCAAATGAATTCAAGGTTTTTTTGTGAAAATAGTAAAGTTCGTCACTTTTTGACTGTTTCAAGATCACCACAACAAAATACCGTCGTGAAAAGAAAGAACTGGCTATTCTCAACATGACATTTAGTATGTTGAAGTGCAAAAGTATACCAAATGAGTTTTGGGCTGAAGCATTTACTTGTGCAGTATATTTGTCAAATCAGTGTCACACAAAGAGTATTCGTGACAAAATACCTTCAGAGGCTTGGAGAGGTTTCAAGCCAAAAGTTGCTCATTTGCGAGTTTTTGGGAGCACTACCTATGCACATATGCCGGATGAGAAGAAGTACAAACTTGATGATAAAAGTGAGAGGTATATTTTCATTGACTATGATCAAAGTTCTAAAGGCTATAAATTATATAACCCATGAAATGACAAGGTCACCATAAGCAGAGATATTTAGTTTAATGAAGATAATGCTTGGGAATGGAAAACTAAAGAGCAAGATTACTCTTTTAGTCCTTTCTTTGATGAAGATGATGATTAAGAAGTTGCGGAGCAGCTCTATCACACCACCTTCAACACCTTCAGCACAAGTTCAAGAAGAAGATGAGTCAGGTTCAAGTTTTTCAATTAAAGTGCCTCAGAAAACTAATAGTTTACGTGAGTTGTATGAAAATACGAAAGTGGTAAGAAAGATTTATATGATTTGATTAACTTTTGTTTGTTGGTAGATAGTGAGACTTTAACTTATGAAGAAATCAAGGCAATCAAGAAGAATGATACTTGAGAATTAGCCACACTTTCAAAAGGCAAAAGCACCATTGGTGTTAAATGAGTGTACAAGTTGAAGAAAAAATTCAAGGGTAAGGTAAAAAGGTACAAAGCAAGATTGATTTCTAAGGGATACAAGCAAAAGGCCAGTATTAACTATGATGAGGTATCTGCACCGGTTGCTCGTTTGGAAATAATTTGTTTTATTATTTCTTTGGCAGCTCAAAATCAATGGAAAACTCATCAAATGCACATGAAGTCGGCTTTCTTGAATAGTGTTTTAGAGGAAGAGGTTTACATTGATCAACTATTGGGTTACAAGGTTAAAGGACATGAAAATAAAGTGTTGAAGGTGAAGAAAGCTCTTTATGGTTGAAGCAAGTGCCACGAGCTTGGAATGGTAGAACTGATAAATATTTCCAAGCAAATGATTTTTCAAAGTATCCACATGAACATGCACTTTATCTCAAGATTGCTAGAAATGATGACATCTTATTACTCCCTCCATTCCAGTTTATGTGAACCTATTTCCTTTTTGGTCCGTTCCAAAAAGAATGACCCCTTTTTAAGTTTGGAAATAATTTAGCTTTAACTTTCAATTCTACCCTTAATAAGAAGCGTTTATAACCACACAAATACTCTGGATCCCTTTTTGACTTGTTTAAGACCACAAATTCTAAAAGTTTTCATTTTTCTTAAACTCCGTGCCCAGTCAAATAGGTTCACATAAATTGGAATAGAAGGAGTACTTGTTTGCTTTTATGTTGATGATTTGATCTTTACATGAAATAATCCAAAGATATTTGAAGAATTCACGAAGCTATGGCAAGAGAGTTTGAGATGACAGACATTGGCTTAATTTATGTTCTACTGTCTTGGAATCAAAGTGCAACAAAGGAAGGAAGACATTTTTATTTCTCAAGAAGAATATGCAAAGGAAATTCTCAAGAAATGTGAGATGGAGAATTGAAATCCCCCGAGCACCCCCGTTGAATGTGGAGTTAAAGTGTCCAAGCATGGAGATGGAGAAGAGATCAATCCCATACTTTTCAATAGTCTTGTTGGAAGCATAAGGTACTTCACATGTATAAGACGAGATTTTTTTTTGGTGTTGGACATGTGAGTTGCTTTATGGAAGAGCCTACAACCTCCCATTTGAAGGTAGTCAAAAGAATATTTTGGTACATCAAAAGTATCCTTGATTATGGAATATTTTATTCATCTTCCAAAGACTCCAAGCCTGTTGGATATTATGACATTGATTGTGCTAGTGATATTGATGATCGAAGGAGCACTATTGGTTTGTTTTCTTTCTTGAAAATTTCGCATTTACATAGAATTCTAAAAAACAACCAATTGTGACTTTGGCAACTTGTGAAGCGGAGCATGTAGCAGCTTGTTCTTGTGTTTGTCATGCAATTTAGCTAAGGAGCTTGTTGGAGGAACTTTACCTACCACAGAAAGGTGCAATAAAGATATTTGTTGACAACAAATCGGCTGTTGAACTAGCCAAGAATTCGGTATTTAATGAAAGGAGCAAGCATATTTATACTTGGTATCACTTTATTATATATTGCATATCTAATAAAGTTATGGAGCTTGAGCACATAAAGTCATAAGACCAAATTACGGATATTTTCACCAAGCCGTTGAAGATTGAGCTTTTTCAAAAGCTTAAGAAGGCTCTTGGAGTGATGAAACAAGTTTAAGGAGAATGTTTAAATGTGAAAATAATAAACTTGTTTTTCATTTGTTCACATTTGTCTAGATTAGTTCATGAACTAGAATATCAAGTTAGTTATGAAAAGGCTCTATATCTTACGCTTCAACATCAACTTCTTCGTCTAGCTTCTTCAACATCAAGTCTGACTGTTGGAATGGCGAAAGTGATGGATTTTAACTTAGTGCTCATGGGTGCTGTGCTTTGTACGTATCTTACTAATTCCTCTAGTCTCTCTCTCCAATATTATATGCTGTTTACTCTTAACTTTTGGAGTAAAGAAGCTTTATTTTCCATCAACTTTCATAACCAAATTAGAATCCTTGTCCCTTCACTAAAACTAAACAACCAGATACGACCTGACACTAACCCATGCGTAATAATAGGTTAAAATGCATCCCCACTTTACTACTACTAATAGTTGTTTTTTTTTTCGTTTTGCTGTTACTAAAGTTATCTAGAAATTTAGTAATAAATTGCAACGAATACGGAGTATTTTATTGACATCTAGACGTTATTTTGTTTAGTGTCTGTACTGTATCTTTGGACGACAACAGAAGCGGAGGATCTCTATGTTAACACGACCATTCTCTATAGTGCGATTGCTAAAGGAGCAGGTGACTAAGTGTTCCTTCAGAAATGAACTCCGTATATTTATACATTTTCTTAACTTTTTGTAGTTTGGAAAAATTGTCTTATTTTTTTAGTTGATTGTTGTTTTGGTTAATATTCTTTTTATATAGTATGCTTGGATGGAAGTGCACCTGCATTCCATTTTTATCCGGGAACTAGTTCAGGAGTTTATAGTTGGGTCATTCACCTTCAGGTTAATTAATTTGACTCAAATTCTAATGTTTTTTTTTTTTTTGGTTTAAATTTTGGCTAATCTTCAACTTTGAATTTCCAGGGTGGGGGCTGGTGTGAAACTACTTCTGACTGTCAAAATCGCGCACGTTCGGACTTATCTTCGAAACATGCACCAATTGTAGCTCATTTTAGTGGAGTTCTAAGCAATGATCCTCAAGTAAATCCAGGTAGTTAAATAGGTTATGTGTATTTATCATTTTCTTTTCCTTCTCTATAAGATATTGTGGGCTTGTGGCACTGATAACTAATGAAAATATTTTTATTTTTTTTGAATTTAGACTTTTACAATTGGAACCTAGTCAAGATCAGATGTTGTGATGGGTCATCATATACTGGCGATATTGAAGAAGTTGATCCAGTATGTCAAAATCCTTTCGTTAATCGTGTTAGAATTCGTTGTCGATGTAACTTTCTAACCAGAAATGTCAGAAAATTTCAGGATACTAACCTCCACTATAGAGGAGCAAGAATTTTTGAGGCAATTATGGAGGAATTACTATATCGTAAAGGGATGATATATGCTCAAAATGTTCGTCTCAATTAAAAATCATATTCCTCTTATTTCTCTTTAATTATATAGCTGAAATATAAGAAATTTTTATAATTTTATGACAGGCTATCCTTAGTGGAACTTCAGCAGGAGGGTTGGGTGCAATCCTACATTGTGACAAATTCAGATATTTTTTTCCATTGACTGTTAGAGTGAAGTGCATTTCTGATGCTGCTTTTTTTTTGAATGTGTAAGTTCATAAATTATGAGAAATTAATTTTTTTAAGAGTGTGCCTTCTCTTTTTAACTAATTCTTGGATGAATTTTATGTAGAAAAACTATAACTGGGGAGCCACAAATTGAAGAGTATTACAAGAGAGTTGTTGCTTTGCATGTAAGAACAATATCATTAATTAGTAGATATTTTCTCTTTTGCTATTCTTTATTGCTTTTTATTTTGAGCATTGCTTTATTTTGCATTTACCTATTGTATATAAACATTAATTATTGACTCTCTTTTGGGTATACTTTAGGGATCTGCCAAGAACCTACCACTCTCGTGCACCTTGAGCTTAAACGACCCAAGTTTGGTAAGACCAATATTTTTTATGGAATAAAAATAAAATTAGCCAACATAATATTTCTCATTAATATACAATTCAATTTGGCAGTGCTTCTTCCCTCAGTATGCAGCACAACATACTTACACACCCCTTTTCATAATTAATTCGGCCTATGATGCTTTTCAGGTTCGATTTCCATGGTTGCAAATCAAAATTGTTTTCATATGCTATATATTTAATTTATATATTCTAAATGTTTTTGCCTTTTTGAATTTTGATTCTTGAAAATTAGATAAACCACAGTTTGATTCCTTCAGAAGCTGACCCTCAACATGTTTGGGATTATTGCAAGGGAAATTTAAATAGTTGTTCACCTAGTCAACTGCAAACTATCCAAGGTACTAGACAATTATGGTTTTTTTTTAATGTGACAATTCCTCTCTTTTAACACTACCTCTAACTTGCTTTTGTAATATTTTTTTTTGTTTCAGATTTTAGGTTGACATTTTTAGAGGCGTTGAACGAACTAGGACCAAGTACAACAAGAGGATATTTCATTTCCTCTTGCCATTCCCACCATGGCATTGAAATACAAAGCTACTGGTCCTACACTAACTCTCCAACATTAGCTAACAAGGTCACTTTTCTTTTCTTTTTTCTTTTTCTTTACATTATAATTTTTATCTTTCCTTGTGTTGTAATTATTTGACATTTGACAATAACTTATTGTAACAGACTATCGCTGAAGCAGTTGGAGGCTGGTTTTTTGATAGGAGTGGGTTTCAAGGGGTTTATTGCCCCTATCCTTGTGGCATACTTTGCCATTAGATATGCAAAAAAATAGTATTGAATTTAAATGTTGTTGGCCAACCTACGCTTGTGATAGGTTAAGATTGTTTTTCAAACTTTAACATATATTTATTTATATATATATTGTCGCAGATTGGAATGTTATTTTCTTTTGACTTCCAACATGTTATAAGCCCTTATATGGATGATTATAACTTTGATAAAGTCATCTCCGGAGAGCTGTATTTGGGAAGGATGAATTGCTCCCGAAAAGAAATCTATTGATTCTCTCCCCATTGGTTGGACCGTAGGTCCGATGATTTACTTTACGGGCAAGGTCTCTGGTTCAAGTCCAGGATGGCCCAGCTGTGCTAGGAAAAAGAATAGAAAAAGCATCTGACTACTTCATGCATGCTCCACTTGGCTCAGAGGGATATAGCTCAGTTGGTAGAGCTCCGCTCTTGCAATTGGGTCGTTGCAATTACGGGTTGGATGTCTAATTGTCCAGGCGCTAATGAAAGTATCTTGTATCTGAACCGATAACTCACTTTTTTTAATTAATGGGGAAGAGGATCGAAACGTGCCACTGAAAGACTTTATTGATAAAGTCATCTCGGGCAAGAATCTATGGGTAGATATTTTTAAGCTCATGAAATGTACACGTATTAGAACACAATTCCTTGCCATTAACTTTGATTGAGAAGACTCTCGCAATCAATTAAGTAACTACTGAATATGATTTTGTAATTAAGTGTAACCAATTAATTTACTAAAATAATACAGATAACCGGCATTTGATTACCTATTATATATATTGAACTAGCAAACATTAGATCATACATAATGGTGAACACATTTTATGTAAGTTTGATTATTGCTTTCATGCAATGAATGTTTCCATGTCATTTACTCAAATCAAATGAAACATACATGAATTTTTTGAAACTAATAAATTCGGACCATACGTTACAATGTTAAAGACCTATTTATGAATCATCTCGTCTCACATAAACCTGATAAAACATACATAGCATGACTAACAAAAGTGTTGTAAGCAAACATAATTTTAGTTGTTTCTTGAATGTTTTTATATGCTTTGTTGCTTTATCTACTTATTGATATTTTTATTTTTTATTTTTTTTGTATTTTATACTACTAATTTATGGTAAAAAAAAATTATTTATAACCTATCCTTTTACTTTTTATGATTTGCCTCCTAATTTTATTCCTTTTCGATCGTTTCTTGTTTATTAAACACAATTAATTTTACGAGCCATACGGTGGGAAAACTTCTTATTTTTACCATGTGCCTAGAAAAATGATTTATCTCCTTATTTTTAAAACCTTACAGCAGGCTCTCACCGTTCCGTGTTTCAATTCCTTTCCACTTCCCTTATTTTAACCACATCAAAATGCAAGGAGTTCATCTTCTTTTTTTATTCATTAAAACTTTCTGATTTGGTATAATCAATATTAATTCCCTTCACTGTAGCATCTATAAATGATGGAGAAAGTTCACAAAAGGGTCCATTTTGATACATTTCTTTTTCATTCTCTTCCACCTCTCCCTCTAATCTTTTTATTTTATTTATTTTACATACTTCCTATTGTTATCTCACAAAATGAACTATCTTATATTTTTTTTAAGGAAATAAATAGATTAAGAGTGTAAAAACCGAGTGAATAGGGTCTAAATAAAAAAAAATACTGGATATGCTAGGCGTGCAAAGTACAAGGAACTCCTATTTAATATTTCCTTTTTTATTTTGTGTACATGGCTGTGGTGAATATTTTTACTCGTTTTTAAGAATTAAATCCCATGATACAACAAACAACTTTTAAATAATATTTTTTTCATAGAGTTTCAGAGAATCATTTTGTATAAGGTGCAATATAAATGTGTTGGTAACGTTTATCATCCAAAAGTTTTGTGGATTTTAAATTAACAAATGCAATTACTCTATACTTGTGTGGATGCACAAGAATATACTTCCCCTAAAATTTCAATAGATATTTCTATCTTTTTGTTTTCGAGTAATGCCCTCTATCATTCGAGTTAATTAGTTTATATTCTAGATAAGGAGGTTAACAAGAAATTTTATTGATTCTAATTAACAATCATTTTTGTTTTGCAGGAAATATATCCTGAAAAAATGTGCTGTAAGCAAATTATGTCAGTGTTGCAAATTTATATGTTTGTCTTAGTTTTAATTTTTAAAACATCGGTAAACTGTATAACTCGTGAAGAAGAAAAGGAGCTATCTTGCTATTTGGATTGCCTAGAAGACTATAAGGTTTATGGGTACAACCTATATAAGTATTTTACTCAAGAACAGATTAATGAAAAATGCAAAAGGGGTGAAAGTATGTTTCCATGTGCGTATGACCTGATTCACAATTTGTCCAACCATAAATCCTCCAACTTCTCATAGTAGGGTAGACCATATAATATAATTAAGTGTAGTGAGAGAACGTCTGGGCTCTCTCTAGAAAACATTAGAGAAGAACTTTTAGTTCCTTCTCAGCTAACCTACAGAAACAAACACCTACTGCAAAATACAAGCCTCCATGCTTGACAAGAAGAACTCAGATCAACAACACAATGCCACAAAACACAGGCCCCCGACGTGACAGACTACGACATGGAACATCTCAGAGTTATTAACACAAATTTGCAGATCTCCCACCAAAACTTGGACACCCAAATAATGGGAGATCAGCAAAACTTCCCAGAACAAAAAGAAAACAAACAAGATAAAAAACCTCCTTCTTAACCAAACTGCAAGAAAACATAGTAATCATTCAAACTAGAAACCAAATTGCAGTTCAGAAATCCATCATAGGTTTTGACACATCGGACAAAACTGAAAACACCTTTGACTCGGAAAATTTAATTCCCATAACTTCAGAGGATAAGGAAAGAATATACAGAAACTGGGAAAACTCTCTAATAATCAAAATCTTCGGCAGACGAGTAACCTACCAATTCCTCCAACAAAAAATACATGCTATATGGAGACCTACTGAGCATCTAACGTTGATAGACCTTGGGCATGATTGCTATCTCATAAAATTCACTAGACCTAAAAATTACGACAAGGCACTACACGGGAGACCTTGGTTTATCGGAAACAAATTCCTCACAGTAAGGAAATGGAAACCCAGGTTCATAGCCTCAACAACATCACTAACTTTCTCAGTTGTCTGGGATAGATTACCAGAGCTCCCAACGGAGTTCTATGATTATGAGATTATCCAGAAGATAGGAAACAAACTAGGTAAACTTCTTAGGATCGATGCTTGCACATACTCAACCACTAGAGGGAAATACGCAAGGGTATGCATTCTAACACCCATAGAGAATCCCCTAAAAACACACATCATCATAGGAAACCATTACCAAAAAATAGCTTACGAAGGGTTCAACCTACTAAGTGAATCATGTGGAAGACTGGGACACAATTCAAAAAACTGTCCTAACACGACAACTACTGTTGAACCTAAAACTATCAGCAACAACGGAAAAGCCATGGTAATTGATACCCTAACCAAAGAGATTGATCAATGGACCATTGTAACATACCAAACAAAAAAATCAAAAAAAATACAGGCTACTGCTAATGCCAGCCTGAACGATCCATCTAAGCTAACTAGGCATGGCTTAAACGTTAGTGCAAAAAACCAAGTCGATGAAACTAGACCTGGTGATATAACCCTATGACAAAACTCGAAACAAGAATTCAAAAGAAAAACAATGGCCAACACAGTGGACAATACCCAGCCCCCCAATCAAAAAATCAGTGTTGACCAAACTCTTGAAACCCTAGGAAGCCTTAGCTTTCACACAAACAAAACAAAAGCACAACAGACAATAATTATTCCCCACAAATGTCAAACCACTTCATAAAGCATTTAATGCCCCAATTCAATACCCAAGAACCCACACCCATTGGAAACGACAAGGACAACGAATCAATCCCAAAAACCAGTGGGCAATACACAAGAAACCTAGAGACAATACCTAAACCTGCCAATCATATCCCTAAATCAACCAAAACTAGAATTGCAATGGATATTGACCCTCCCCTTACCCTAGGCAAAGCCCCATCAACATTAAATGGTGATTACATACCCCTAAACCAAAGCTTCATCTTCCCCAAAAAGTAGACATAAGCTCTCATGATATCATATCAAAAATCATCCCAACCAAAACCCTTGAAGCAATCATCTCAAACCAAAAAATTGAAACAAACATTGTCCCATCAGCCATGTACATCACACCCATGTACCACAAATTGCACTCTATTTCTAATAACTCAAACGAGCCCCCCTCACCCAAAGATAACAACTCCAAACTGCCAAAGAACAACAAACAACAACATGACCAGGCTTCACTCCACTAACTACCAAAGAAGACACCACAGGAACAGAAGGAATACTTGGATTAGGGGACAACAAAGAACAACATTCCATGCACCATACCTACCCATGAACCCACCCCAACCAATAATCTACACAACACCACCACTACCAATGAACCACGTTCCATAGTCATGGCTGGAGTACGGGCTGACAAGCTTCTCTCTAAATATGAACCTGCAGCTGGAAGGTCAAGAAATCACAATCCAGCTAGAGGATCAGAGCTACCTTGCTCAGATAGTGACAGAGGGATTGAGAATAGGGCTGGACAACATAGCAAACCACCCTTGGTTGGCCATGTTCAACAACCAGATGCCCACCCCCATCAACCACCCCACTATGGGAATCCATCCAACACCATGGAGCAGGCAACCAAGGACGACCGCTTCAGCTCTAATAGGCCTGAGCATGCAACTACCCCTATTTCAAGAAACCATACACCCAAACCAAACACACAACCACCAATACCAAGCAGCAACACACCATGTCAACAACCCAAGCAATCCAGTGATGAACACAAACCTAGCACAAGCGAGAGCCACTCAAACCCTAGCTTCAGCAGCAACATCAAACAGTGCCCCTCTACTTGCCTAAACACAAACGGAAGAGGGGGAAGAAGAGGAAGGATCATCGACAGCAAGACGAGTGGAGTACGATATGATAAGGGACCCAAAGACACTGGTGTTCAAGGAAAAAAGAGAAAAAAGGTACAACTTATGTTGCCCACAAGACTTAAGGAAATTCTCGATCAATATACGAGTTCTCCAAAGCCCACCGGCAATCTACAAGTACGGGGCAGTAATAATCCCAACTCTGTACGCACATCACTGGATGAACCAAGACAATAGGGCATGGGGGAGTTCACCCCAAGCAAACCCACGGCAGGAACAAGAGGAGGCACCCCAAACTTAGATCAATGACTTTCATAATTTGGAATTGCAGGGGAGAGGGGAATGAAGAATTCAGAAGGGTGTTTAGATCAATGTTAGACTATAACAGACCTTTTCTGGTAGCTTTATTGGAAACAAAGTTAGCGGATCACCAAGCTATTGTTGATGACTTTTGTTTCACAAAAATGACC